AGAGAGCTCATAGAGCTCTGTGGTTTACCCTGAAGCTGAGAGTGATGAAACAAAGCAGGAGACAGCTGGAGTGCAGATGGCAAGAAAACCCCTGAATGGAGGCAATCAAGCCCTGGTATGTGCTTATTACTAGGCATACTCAGGGGCAGTGAGGGCAGCAAAGGAACATCTCACTGCCTCCTTTAGTCTTTTATCTGCTTCTGGCAGAGCTTTGTAGTGATGTCCAGGGCCCATCATATGCATCTGGTGGGAACTCCACTCTGGTATAACAGCAGCTGAATCAAGCAGAATATCTAGTGCACAGTTTGGTCCAACCTTTTTGGGTGAGTTTCAGCTGATACAGCTTGAGGTCACAGACAAGCCGCTTGGACAGGGTTGTGCAACCACTGGGTTACACAGGCCAGCAGGGAGGAAGGAACTTGCTGGGCTAGGGAAATGCGCAGTGGTTCCTTGCATGACCTGGTATGGCCAATCCAGGGGAGAGAGAAGGGTGTGTGATTCTTCTGATACTCTTGGATCTCTTGGCAGCTTTGGATGCCATCGATTAGGGTATCCTTCCAAAGTGGCCAATGAGTTGGGAGTGGAGGTACTGCATTGCAGTTGCTCTGTTTCTACTTGGAGGGCTGGCTTCAGAAGGCAGTGCTTGGGGAATATTGCTCAACATCATGGTTTCTCCATTGCATGTCTCATGACTGCTTTTGTCACCAATGCAATCTGACATCAACGTGAATCCATGTTGGGGTCATCCAGAGTTTTGGAGTATATTGCTCAGCGTTTTGGAGAATATTGCCACACAGCTCTGTTTCTCTTTTTCATTCCTACCAGGCAAGGTTGTAGATGTGCTAAACTGGTGCCAGCTGCAACAATGGACTGGATGAGGGTTGACAAACTGAAGTTCAGTCCATATAAGACTGATTCACTATTAGTGGCTGGTTCTTCTGTTTGGATGTTGAGCCTGTTTTAGATGGGGTTGCACTTTCTTGAAGAAGCATCTCCATAGCTTGAGGGCCCTCCTGGAGCCATCTTTGTCACTTGAGGCCCAGGTGGTCCCTATGACACAGAGTGCATTCTACCAGTTTGGGCTGGCAGTTTACCTATGCCCATAATATAGACAGGGATAGTCTGCTTTCAGTGATTTACACTCTGGTAATTTCTAAATTAGATTACTGCAATGCATGCTACATGAGGCTGCCTTTGAAGACTGTTCAAAAGTTGCAGCTTGTGCAAAATGTAGCAACCAGACTAATAACTAGGACTAGATGTTCTGAACATGTAAGACCAATTCTGGCCCTCTTTTATTGGCTGCCTATCAGCTTCCACGCCTGATTCAAGGTCCTGGTTTTAACCTAGAAAAGCTTACAAGGCTTGCTACTATGTAAGGCATTATAGGTTTGAAGCTGGGGGAGGACAAAGCACATCCAACCTCAAGCTAGCCAGGCACAAGGATCAACATCTGAGGCCTTCCTCCAATTGCCACTGCTGAGGGAAGTTTGGAGGGTTTCGACAAGAGAGAAGACCTCCTTAGTGGGGCTGCCTTGAATGTGGAATGGTCTTACTGAGGCCCAGGTTAAGACAGCCATTTATGCAAAGGCTTTTGAAGACATCCAAGAATATTCATGGCTTGACTAGGGACCAAATGCGGGGCATTTTTAAAAGGTCAACTCTGTTTTTAAATTTAAAAATTGGACACATTTTATTGTATTATGGTTCTGTTTTAGGAAACTTTGTAAACCACTCCAAGAAAGGGAATGAATGAATGAATGAATGAATGAATGAATGAATGAATGCAGTTTGGCTGTAATAGTATTATTATTAGTAGTATATAGGCAGAGTTTATGGGAGAAAATGAAGTGAAGACATAGGGTTGCTAACCCCCTCCCCCAGTCTTCTTGAAAGAAATTGAGTATTTAAGAATCATCTAAAGTATTAAGAAATTCAAGATGCATGCAAAGATTCATCACTGGAGAAAGCTGCTCCTGTTAAAAGGTTGCTAACAGGAAAATAGCAGCAGCAAATACTTTCTACAGCACAGACCTAACCATGTTTTCTGAGAAATTACTCCCATTCTTTTCACTGTGCTATACCTCTGAGTAAACCTGGTTCAGATGGGGCTTCATTTCTTGTTTCAGGGAGTTGCATCCAGGTTTAGGTGAAGGCGATTGGGCTGAGGGAAATAACTTTTCCTGCTGCCATCTCCTCATGGCAGCCACCAACAAATGATGCAGAGGGAGACATCCCAATGAATGGGGTGTGGGTGAGAAGGCCAAGCTTGAAGAAGTGTGTGGAGTCCATTATCTGGAGCAAGATACTTACGAATTATGCTAACACAAAACTTTTAAGAACAGATATATCTAGAATAATGCTTCTCTAAATGGCAAAATTGTATTGGGCACTGCTACAGCCAGGACCCAAATAAATTGTGTCTAACTCTGTGTCCAAGACACACAGAGCTTCTGCTTCTCTCTCTTAAAACACTTTTGGAAATCAGGATAGTTTCAAAAACAGTTTGTGATTTTCTACTTGAGTTTTCTCCTGCAGCCTGATTGAAAAAAAAATCTATTGACTATACACAAACTCTCAGGCATGCGTAAACAGTTCTTTGGATCCTGGTCTATGAATTTTGTATCACCAATAAAACATATTTTCCTAAAGCGGGAACCCATAACAAGCATACTGGGACAAATGATTCCTGAACATGTGCATTTAAGGGAAAAGAAAAGTTGATCTAAGTCTGCCACCTGCTGTCTCTGAACAAAGCTGCTGTGAAATAACCCATGGAAAGCCATGGATATATTGCAAAATTTTAAAAAATCCCATTATCAGAATACAGTATGCTTTTCTTTTGTACATCCATAACAGAAATGTGGCATGACCGATGATGTTTTTAAAGGCAATAAGCACTTTAATTCTAATGTTATGCATGTTTACTCAGGAACAAGTCTCATAATCGTGAGTCTTACTTGCAAGCAACTGTGCATAGCTTCATATTTTCCAGTGCAATCTTACATGTTAATTTAGAAATCCTGTTGTGTTCAGTGGAGCATCCTTACTAGTACAGGGGGTGCTATCTGCTCCTCTGGATTGTTTTTATTAAATTAAAATATACCGGAAAACTGGCATGCCTCAATGCAAAGTTTCATCCTCCAGAGCCATCTAATTTGTTTGGGTTCAAAAGAGTACAGAGTTTCATTTTTGGAGTTCAGGTCCTACCTCTGCTTTGCACTTGGGTTCTTCATAAAGTTACCTTTTCTACAGTCTCACTGGTTTTCCTTCCAAGAAAGCAGTAGTTGTAGTCCCACCATGGCAGCCACGTTAAGAACAGTTAAACTTCTACCTGTGAAACCATTCTGTGAGAATGGCCATGATACTCCCACCAAATTTCTAAGGTGCCATTCACTCAAAAAGGTGGGGCCCTATGTGAAAAACAATTGATGGGAGTAGCTTTGTTTCCCCCTATCCCGAGAGCAGGAGCAGTAGGGGGAAAAAATGGGTGGATCATGTTCTGGATGAACTGTTATTTGTCCTAATTTATGACCTTTTTTGGGGTAAAAATGGATTATGTTACACCTTAGTTCTGAACCTGAGGCTCTTGGACAGGAGTTTCATGATACCATGTCTTTTTTGCTACAAGCAATACTAAAGCTACACTCCTCTCCATCAACCTTCCTCAGCCTCATGCCCACCAGATGCTTGTTGCTTTAACTTGTATATGCCTAGTATAGTCAGTGTGTGGTGTGGTCCAAAATATCTGGTGGGCATGAAGTTGGCGGCTATCTTAAAGAAACTCTCACAGCCCTAAATTCCTGTGTGAACAGGCTTAGGGCTGCTGAGTAGAAATAGTAGGCTGGTGGAAGGCAGAGCAGGGTTGCTCACACAGCAGAACAACGCCATGCACCTTTCTTAGCATTTTTAGTCCTGGAATCTGCTTTTAGTCCCAGCATGCATTTGTGGACTCATTTCTTAAGTTTTACCATAGATTAGTGGTAGAATACACAATTTAGTGGATCGGCTGCAACCTTCTCTAGAAGGTCTCCGTTTATCACTAGATTCATACAAATACTGGTCATTGGCTGTAAAGGATGAACTTAAGAAAACAAATAATTGGCTTTAATAAGCAAAATATTGGGTTGATATGATGGATATTTTGATCAATCAAAATGATTGATCTAACCTTGTGCCATTTGAAAATAATGAGCACTTTGGCTTAGTATTTTCCTTACAGACAAGCGCCTTTCTGATCAGCTACGCCCCCTTCCCCACCCCACCGCCTGTGCAAGAAAATTACAGTGAAATCTAAAATAAGCATAGCATGTCAGTCTCTCTGTTTCCAATGAGACTAACTCTCAAGTAAGTATGTTGAGGATTGTAGACGAATTCCCATAATAATACAGCTTTCCTAGTCTGTTTAAATTATATTTTCGTCCGCTGTTCATATCCTTTTCCATTAAAATGCTATGGAAAGAGTCTCCTATATAGACCCACTGATTAAAAGAAAAATTGCTAGAGGAGAGACTTTCTTCTCCGCCTCATCAGATCGCCATTCAGACGTTCTTTGCACACCTCCAATTTCGAGTGTTCTTTGCACACTCGAAAGAATGGCTGCTTTTTGGCAGAAGAGCATTTTCATACACGAAGAATTCACGCACGGGAGAGAGGCGAGCGACCCCAGTCCTAGCACCGCTTGCCCTACTTCGCGCCTTCCAGAGCCGTGGAACTACAGCTCCCAGCATTCCCAGCCTGGCTGGGAATGCTGGGTGCTGTAGTCCTGCAGGTCTGCAAGACTGCCGCGCGGCCTTCCAGGCAGCCGAAGCGCTCTTCCGCCTTCCTTCCCCTCCGAGCTGGGCGCGCCAGCGGCTGCGCGGCGCGGGCAAGGCGGAGTTTGCGTGCGCCGCTTTCCTTGCGGTTGCGGTCGGCGAGCCACGGTTGCAGCTGCCCTTTTCTGGCAGGTAGGTAGCTCGGTGGGCGGGCTGGAAGAAGGACGGGAGAGAGGGAGGAGCGAAGGAGAGTTCTTGCAGCTGCCTTGTGCGCGCTCGTTTCCCCCGCCTCGTTCCTTTGACCGCTTCCTCCGTCGCCGCTGCTTCTGCTTTGACTGTGAACATCTCATCTGCCTCCCCATCCGCCATCCCCTGCACCTCGTCGCTCTTCCTGCGGTAACCCTCACGTGCCATCCTCCACCCCCGGTCGCTCTTGGCTCCTCTTCTCGCTCTTTTGTGTTCCATCCGCCTTCCAGCCACCTACTGTGCCGCCTCTCCAACAGCATGGGCAAGCTTTTGGAGCCGTGCCAATTCGTCAAATGCGTAGCTCGCTTTTATCCTCTAAACCAGACTTCAGCAACCAGGAGCCCTGGAGTAGTGTGGGATTCCAACTTCCAACATCTCCCGGCCAGCCAGCCAGCCCCGAATTGGGCTCTAACAGGCTCGGAAAGCCCAGGTTGGACAAGGCTGCTACATGTTTTGCTCCAGCGCCTTCCTGCTGTGACTACCCCGCCCCATCGACTCTCTTGTCATTGGCGTTTTCCCTGCGCTCTTGCCCATTGAGCCGGCCTCCTCGCTTCTGTATTGTCCAGAGACCTGCCTTTTCGAAACATCCATTTCTTCTTTGACACACTTGGTATTACGCTTATTTATTATGCTCCAACCAGAATTTCCACTGGTTACAAAGACATCTTTCCAGACTAATCTTCCTGGCCCCTGAATGGCATCTTTTGTTCATTCCTGCTTCTCCCGTTCGTAGCAAGTGAGCTGAAAACGCGTGTTTCTTCCTGGTCTATCTTTACTTGAGAGATAGAAAACGAGCTAGACTGCAGGTGGACATAAGCTGAAAAGCAGTATTTTGATGGATCCTGGCCAAAGTGGGTGTGCAGAGCAACCCCAGGTATGTTTACCCAGAAGGTAAACCCTACTCTGCTCATTGGGACTTACTTCCTAGTCAGTGTGTTAGGATTGTAGTATTAAAATCTGCAGAGAGAGAGCGCCTGGTTTTAAAATGCTAGCTGGCTGAATATAGTTGGCAGAAATAAACATTTTGTCAGATTTTTAATACATTTTGTCTAAAACATTGAAAATGCATATTTCATCATGTTATTCATTCACATAGACAAATTCCAGTGCTAAGTTTCATATATCTGAGGAAGTAAATATTGCCTTGTTAATGCTTATGCTTTAACATTGCAGTCTTATACATACTTACACAGAAACAAGCTCCATTTGAACTCAGTGGGACATGGTCAGAGATGAACCTATAGGATTTCAGCCATGAGATGCCAGAGAACTCTCTAGATTTTTCTTGGCCAAGCATTGTACAATTTGAACATAGAGGAACATATGAGATAAAAAAGGCATGTTCTACCAAGGTATGGGCTAGAAGAATTACATATGAATGAATCTAACTTGTATTATCAGAAACAGCAAGGAGCCTTGTGACACCTTAAAAGACAAACACATTTATTGTGACAAGTTTCAGTGGGCTAGAATAAGTGGGCTGTGGTCCACAAAAGCTCATGCCACATTATGTTTATTAATCTTGTAAGATGCCACAAGTCTCTTGTTTTTACTGCTACAAAACCACTTTGCAGCTTTTTAGCTTCAAATGAAATAAGCCTTGTTCTATCAAATAATTTACAGCTGTCCACCCCCAACCTGACACCTGCCAGATGTGTTAGAATATGTGTGACATTCAGCATTCCCAGTCAGCACACTCACTTGTCTGGGAATGATAGGCCTTGTAGTAGACACCAGGTTGGGAAGGCCGATTTACAATGAAAATAGTTACGTTCATCTGTGATTTTTCTATTAAGTGCTATGCTAGTCTTTTATCAGATTTCAGAAGAAAATGTTTTCAACCTTTAGTGCTTCTTGATATACTGGCTTTGTTCATCTGCAGCTAAAGAGCTGTAGAGTGGCTTTGTTGCAACAAAGACAAAGAGCTGTTGCAGCCCAACACCAATGATTGTTAGGCCCCATCTAAGCACCTGTCTTGTTTGCCTTTCTAAGGTGATAGGTTTGAATGTGTTGTAAAGCACCCCCTCTCTCTGCAAAGGTAGCTGGTTTTGTCATTTTCAGCTGCTGCCCTGTAGAGGTAGAGATAGAGATAAAAGGCAGCAGATAGCTATTAACAGCAGTGCATGGGCCTTGTAGTATTCAAACCATGCTGATATTTTTATAAGTCTCGGCACTTACACGTATCATAATCTTTTGTGAATAACCATGATTAATTGCTTTAAAATTCCTTTTTCCTTCCAGGATGAAACATGGCTGAGGACCCTCAGAGAAATTTCCGATCCGTTTATTATGAGAAAGTAGGATTTCGTGGTGTTGAAGAGAAGAAGTCATTGGAAATCCTTCTGAAAGATGATCGGTTGGGTATGTTTGGCTGGACCTGTGATAACATGCCCCTCTATTTTGGCTTGCTGATACATCTGCAATACTGTGCACACTTAGTTGGGAGAAAATCTGTTGAAGCTAGTGATGCTTACTTATGCAGTCACTTCAGTTCCTTCCCTCCCTCCCTCCCTCCCTCCCACCTGCTGACAATGGGGTGGAAGCAGGTTCCTCTTCTCCGGGCCAGCCACAAAGGCTCCATGGTTGGGCACTAGCTGAGAGGCCATGCCCTGACTGAAGTTGCTTTTGAACTCCACCACTGCAATCTGCTCATTCATTTTCCTTTCTCTCTGGCCCAGATGAGGGTGGTGGTAAGAAGTAAGAACAGGAGATTCCCCTGGCTATTTGCTCAGGTGGTACCTATGAGGAGAAGGAGGGTAGAGTGCAAAGGCAGCTGATGACAATGACAGTGAGAGAGGCCTGTTGCGGGTGTTTTGCCAAGGTCCCTCAAACATTGGGAGCAGGCGCTGGTTCCAAGGGGGCTTATTTTGTGAGAGCTGAAGCTGACACCTCTCCACTGTGGTTTTTCCTCTTCTCTGGAGGGGATGAATGTGTGGATAAAGCATTCTTACACACGAATGGTTACTTATATGTGTTCACTTACACAAAACCTGCACACTTACACCTTGCAAAGTGCAGAACGTGCACCTAAGATGTTGTATGAACTGTCTTTGTCCTCTGTTGTCAAAAACCTGGGAATAATTGTATGAACATACCTCCCTGAGCTGCAGTTGCTCAGCGCCTTTCTTGACCACGTAAAGTTTTGACCAGTACATTGTGTGGTGGAGGTAGTATTTGTGTTCCTTGGTTGAATACAGTGCCTTCTCTCTTGTTTGGGGGGCGGGTTACCTGTTCCTTAAGAATTCTTTCCCCTTGCTTCCAGTTGTGCTGTGCCTTCATAGCTGGGACGAGTAGGGCTTGCCTCCAAGAAAGTCTGCTGTCTTTCCTCACTTCCCATGTAACATCCCAATAAAGGAAATTATGAGATTTCCCTGCAGAGAGATGTATGTATTCTGATTGCTCAGTTTTAGACCATGCACAGCTCACACTAGGGATGATGTGCAAGTGATTTGGAATACAGATGTCTGAGTCACTTGCACTAGCCACATTTTACACTTTTGTACAACATGCCAAGTAGATCTCAGAGTGGGACACTGGCCATGCAGCCTGTAGGGTTCACTTTTGTTGGACGTGAATCCCTGCTGGGAGACTCTTGTGAGCGTAAGACTCCAAGCATGTTAACTGGCATGGAGAACAAGCATGCAGAACAAGCAGCTTAACAGCATTTTGTCTTTTAATCAGTAGATTACTGAACCAAAGCTTTAGCAATCCTACAGAACCAACCAACAGGTAGATGGAGTAGTCCACTCTTTGAGCCCTCCATCCATCCAAAGCTCTGCCTGCAAGATCCAGGCTGGATGGGAGGAGCAACAGAGCATCCTTGCTTCCTTGACCTCCAATGAAGTATTCTGAGCCCAGCAGGATTCTTAGTCCATCTAATTCTTTGGGGCTTTCTCTGCGGTGGCGCCCCACTTATGGAATGCGCTCCCCAGAGAGGTCCGCCTGGCACTCATTATTTGTTTTTCGGCGCTAGGCCAAGACCATTTTATTTAAACAATATTTTAATAATTATTAATAGTATTTATTGGTTTTAAAATTTTTAGCCAGGGTGAATCCAGAGTTTATATGTATCTATTTATATGATCGTTTATTTGTTATGTTGGAAGCCGTCCCGAGGCTTATGCGAATGGGATGGCATACAAAAATTCCAAATAAATAAATAGATAAATAATTCACTTACCTGGCTGGAGATGGAGATGGCAGGAGAGGCTTGTGGGTCAGTGGCACTTTCCTACTCTGCCCATTGCTCATGTTTTTCTATCTGTGTTGTCTTCCAAGGTTGTGACATTGGCCAGTGGCCAGTGAGTGGAGAGGGATGTACTGTCAGAGCTCTGTGTCTGACTGAGATTTTCAGTCTCCTGTGGCCCTTAAGATGCTGGACACATTGTCCCCAGATACCAGCAACCTGCAGTGTGACTGACATGGTTGGGCTCACCATGGGTTGTTGCTTTCCCCCTAGCAGTTGTCTCCCTGCTGTAATATCAAGCCATTTCTGCCTCACCATGGCTTTTTTCCCAGTTTAACCTTTTAATTTTCAGGCTTCCTGAAAGCTGGCTGTCAGTTTTAAACGGCATTGTTTTTAAATCTTTATTCACAGATATTGAGAAGCTTTGCACATTTAGTCAAAGGTTTCCTCTGCCATCCATGTATCGGACCCTGGTATGGAAGGTGCTTTTAGGTAGGGTGCACTGTGAAAACCAAATTTTGGTTATAAATAATAAGAGCTTTGGACATGCTGTGAAGTTCATTGGATGACTTTGGGCTGGTCACTAATTTTCAGCTGAACCTTTTTCACAGGGTTGTTGTGAGAAAAGATGGACAGGAAGTTAAGGGGTTATGTGGGTTTCATCATGGGTTCCTTGAAGGAAAAGATGGAATATAAATATAATAAAAGCATTGAGTATTTATTATATATCCAGTAAATATGTTGAGTATATTTTAATAATTGGGTTCATTAAAACCAGACAAATGCATGCGCTCATTGTATGTTTAATCATATGTTTAAATGTATAAAATGTGTTTGAAGTATTTGACCTTCAGACTTAGTAATCAGGGAATCTTGAGTTAAATCTGTTGTGAAAGTACCATTTTTATAATCCCATGGCAGTCGAGCCCAATTCACTTTACACAGATGTACAGACATACGCCCTGTTCAGAAGAAGTGCTCATGGTCTGAATCAGCATCTGAGGGGTGCACCCAAACCAGCACACCCCTCACATGCCACCCAAGGTGCACGTGCATAGCATGCCCTCTCCTCCCTGCAGACATGACGGCTGGCTAAGCTGGCATGCACAACATAGAGGCAAGGTGCTTTGGTGCAGCCCTGCAATGGTGGTTCCAGCACACCAGTGCTGCTCATGGCTGTGTTGTTGGGTTGAGCTAAAAGTCTTTAAAATATAATTGCGTTGGGAAAATCCAAAGACCAGTGCAGCAGGTGACCTTAAATCTTGCCCTTTCACTCTCTCTCCATTTTCTTCCAAAGGAATTCTTCCTCCTCACCATGAATCACATTCATTTGTGATGGAATGTCGAAAGGAACAATACAGGGACGTGCACCATGCTCTTCAAGTAATTCGCTTTATCCAGGATTGTACTCCACAGGTTGAAGTTTTCCTCCGGATATATCAGTTGGAATCAGGAAAGCTGCCTCGAAATTCATCTTTCCCGCTGGTCAGTCATGCTTAATTTGGCCTGGAGAAAGACTTCTGTATTCTGCAGGCAGCACTTGTTAGATGTACTGGTCTTGATTTTCCCTCTCCCCCTCCCAATGTAACCTGTTGGGATGCCTGAAAAGCCTTCCTTACTGTCTCTTCAATATGCCTTGGATGTGCCTTGTCCATCCTGCCACATCCCAAAACTTGTACTCTGCCCTCCTTCCAAAGCAGGGTCCTGAGCCCCACCCTTGCTGTCCAGTCAGTTTTTTACAATGCAGGTTTTCATTGGCACTTTACAGCCAGCAAGATAATGTGGCTCTGAGATTCCTTTAGCAAGCTGAAGGATAAGCCACTGCCTATGAAAATAGTGCATGAACAGAAGCTTCTCCCCAATCCTTCCCTTTCATTCACACTGCAGGCTCCAACCTCAGGGTGGCTCCCACTAGTGGAGATCCAGCAGGCAAGATCTACACAAGCCATCTAACTTGGTAGCTGATCTCTGCTGCACCTGGGCAGGGCAACGGCTCTCCCTTCTCTCCTGGGTCCTCTCCCGTCCCTTCCAAAGCATCTGGTGTCACGGGCAGCCTGAGAAACTGTGGGCAGTGACCTTGGTGGAGCTTCAAAGATTCCTGCCCCCTTTGTTCCTCTTGCCCTCCCATCCCTTCTTTGATTTCCTCGTAAGAATGCGGTGGGGCAGGATCTTGGAAAATCCCCAAAGAGTGGGTGCCTGGCTTACTCACTGCAGGTTGGCAACCTTTGGGATCCGGAGGCACATTTGAGCATTTGCGAAGCTGTTTTAGGCACAGCCGTCAAATGGTTGCCATGGGTTGGCATTTGCAGAGGTCAAGTAACCTGCCCAGAGGCATTCATGGGAAATTAAGATGGAAGTCAGCTAGAACCTCCCATCTCACACTGAACCTGCCAGAGGAGGAAAAGAAAAACGAAGAAAAAACAAGATCAAGCACACCATGGTGGGCCCCAAAGCAAGTGCCTGGAGTCCCCAAGCTGCCACTCTTGCCCAAAAAAGTTAGGAAAGTCATATGGATATTGCATATGACTCTTTCCATCCCTTTCTAGCCCACTTCATTAGGTTTCCTTTCAAGTAACTCTCCGAAGAAGCCATAATCAGAAAGAAAGCTTTCAAGCAGGAAAGAGAGTGCAGCAGTCATTACTGTGAACTTGATTACTCGTCACTACCAAAGAGCAGAGTTACTATCATAGGACTGAATGTGATGAGTACATGATCCTACCTAATAGTTTCATTGTATGTCTGCATTGCTTTCCAGGAAGATGAAGATGAGATATTCCTTGCTATTGCTAAAGCAATGGAGGAAATGGTGGAAGATCAGATTGATTGCTACTGGCTTGCTAGTAGTTTTGTAAACCAGTTGAATAAGTACAAGGATTCATTACCACAGCTGGTAAGAATATGTATATATATTTTATGTGCATGTGTGCTCATACATGTGTGCGCACATACATGCAGAGTGTGTGGGTCTGGGACTCAGGAGATCCTCTTTCTAGTCCCTGCTTAGCAGTGGAGCTCACTGAGTGACTTCGAGTCATTCAGACTCTCAGCCTGACCTGCCTCACAGGGTTGTTGTGAGAGCAAAATGGAGAGGAGGACTATGAACATCACCTTGGATTGCTTGCAAGAGGGAAAAAGGCAGAGTATAAATGTGATGTGATCTATGTGGAGATCCTTCAAGCGGGGGCCTTCCGGATGGCTGCTTTTAGCATGTGGAACTCTCTGGGGAGGGAGATTAGGTTGATTCATCCTCTGCTGACTTTCTGCCATCAGACACTGGTGCTTTTATTCACGGAGGCCTTTGGCCTGTGAGCTTGGCTTGGTGGCACTGTTGTTCTGTTCTTGTTGTACTGTTGGTTGCATTGTTAATTTACTGTTTGAACGAAATGGTCGCTTTTTTTGCTTTTACTTTTTATGTTCATTAGCCTTGTTGAGGGCCCCTTTCTTTTTAGAAAGGGGAGGTACAAGCCAAATAAATATGTCAAATATGCACATTTGTTCTGTTAACAGAGTCAATTACTATTGAACTTTTCTTAGCAACCCTTACAATTCCACCCAACCTGTTCAGGACATGCCTTTCATGTCTCAGGCTAAATTCAGTGCTGACAATGCAGTTTTTGTAGCTGCTTTTTTGCTACAAATAACCAACAATAGCTGGGAGAGTATTTTAGGGTGTTCTCCTGTTCAAGAATAGGCAGGAAAAAATCTTGCTGTGCTGGATGGGGCTTGCTGGGAGTTACAGGCTTTTATCTGACTATATTTTATCATTTCTCTTTGTATTTATGGTGCAGCCAAAACTTCTGGAACAGTACCTGAGCCTTGAAGACAGCAGGCTGCTAACACACCTGAAATCATGTTCAGCAATGAGCCACCTGCCTTATGATTTTTGGTTCAAAAGATGCTTTGCCGGTTGTCTACCTGAATCCAGCTTGCAAAGGCAAGGCAATCCCTCCCCTGCTATCTTGGCAGTCGGTCCCACGGGGGACTTGAAGCACAGCTGAGATTGAGCAACAGGTCCATGAAGCACAGGTCGCCTTAGCAAACAATCCAAAAGGCCACACATTTGTTGCCCTCCCAGGCCCCCATGCAGTAGACTGTTCTAGGGTGAGCTCTGCTGAAAATATATTGCCTATGAGACACCTACTGTCTTGTAGTGGATGCAGGCAGTTGGTAGCTTAGGATTGATAAACCATACCGGAAAAGCATGGAGTAAAGCAGCCCTTGAAGGTGGGTGATTGGGTCTTCCAGATCAACTAGCCCCTCTGTATGAAAAGCGAGCCTTTAATCAAAAAAATTAGGGGACCTCGAGAATTCAGAGGTGTGATGCTGGTTTAAAGTGGCAGGAGCTTACTTGTGTAACATGGTAAGGACTTTGGTAAGCTGGCCAGAGTGCTCCAGGTTTGGGGCACTATAGAAATGAAATGAATAAAATAAATAAATAATCTATATTGTGCTCTAAACTCAGGGATGTTATATGAGTGAGTTTTGACATGACAACAGCCTGTGAAGAAGCACATCAGTCATTCAGATGGTGCGGACAGTTACGTATGTTTTGCAATAACAGCTTTAAGTCAGGAAAGAAAAAATGCTTCAGCACTCAATCTAAATTATAGGTATGGAATTAAGGGCATATAGCTGTATGACTTTGTGATTGGATTTTCTAGGGTTTGGGACAAGGTGATTAGTGGCTCTTGCAAAATTCTTGTCTTCATTGCTGTTGAGATCCTATTAACCTTTAAAATGAAGTTGATGGCCCTGAATAGTGCTGAAAAGATTGAACAGTTTTTGCAAAATGTAAGTATCCTTTCCCCACCCTTTGATGAATTCTAAAAAGGCATGGTAGGTTAGTTATGTTCAGAAGAGCAGTGGAGTTAAAAGTTTCAAGTGTTTAAATGTACAATGTTCATTTTGCAAAACTATTACATTTACATTTTCATTTAGTTCTGAAAGAACTAAACTAGGCTGAAGAGGAGACAGTTCAAAAACATGTAATTGCAAGCAGGGATGCTCCCTTGGTTTAAAGAGCTGGTTAAATTGCACTTTCTCAGGCATTTTCCACAGTCCGGGGAGTTAGATTGGGGAAAAGCGTAGATGTCTTTTGTTTAATCTCCCTTTAACTGGGAAAATACAAATGATGAAAGATTGACCATTGAAGAATAACGATATATTCAATATCCTGCTCAGAAGCCATTTTAACAGCTGGCAGCGGTGGGTAAATTATTTTTGGTGGCTGCTTGTATTATTTGGAAAAATAATGGTAATGGTACAACACATTCTTGCACATAGAAGGACCCTGGCTTGATCCTTAACAGAGACATCTTCAGTAAATAAAACATGAGATCGAGCAAGTTTTAAACAGCTCTCAAGGCTGATTGGGATGTGCATGATGTTTACATATCTAAATCACATGTGGGTAATCTTCAGAGGATGGTACTGTATTATTTATTTTTATTTATTAAAACATTTATATCCCGTCCTTTCCGCTGAGCGGCTCAGGGTGGCTTACAGAGATTAAGTATCACACTAGTATGTACTAGTGTGATCTTATATCTGTACTCATGGGTCCATTTTTTTCCACTTAGTGCATTTACATGTGCATATCTAAGGGGGAAAAGGGGTACCTTTTGCTGTTAGACTGAAGATATAAAAATGAAATGGTTGAATACGTATCACCCAATCTAGATTTTCAGGCATACTGAAATGCATGTATGATTCTCCTGTGCTGGGCATCTTTTTCCTTCCCTTAACTGAGGTCTGCCTGCACACAAGCAACTGCTCATTCATTGGAAATGAGTTAGTAGGAGGGGTTTCGATGCGTATTGGAGCCCCTGTATGCTCAGGGGATGAATGGACAGACGAAAAGACTGTCCCCTGGAAAAGGCATTGAGCGCCAGTATACAGTAGGGGTTAAGAGTGCTGGACTGAATGGGACTTTTTATCATATATGGTGGATGTGTAATAATGTGGTGTAGTGGTTAAGAGCATGGGACTGGGACTCAGAGGATCTGGGTTCGAGTTCCCGCTCGGCCATGGAGCCAACTGGGTGACTTTGGGCCAGTCACAGTCTCTCAGCCCAACCTACCTCACAGGGTGATTGTTGTGGGGATAAGATGGAGGAGGAGAGATAATGTAAGCTGCCTTGAGCCCTTTGTAGGAAAAAGGCAGGATATAAATAAAAAAAATGTTTTAAAAAGTTGGGAAGATATACATGCAGAAACACAGAAAATTTTGAAAATTAACTTTCCTATGAATGCTAGAAATATGCTACTGAGTATTGTACCAGAAACTTTGCCAAGGAATATGGTAGAGTTATATAAATATATGATAACAGCAGCTAGAGTTGTCATTACATCAAAATGGAAAGCAGAAGACTACCCAACTAAAGAAGAATGGAAAAATAAACTAGCTAAATATGCAGTAATGGCAAAACTAACTAGTTACGTAAACAGAAGACTGACTGAAGAATCTAATGATAAATGGAAAACTTATAGACAATTTATGTAATCACAAAAATCGAGCTCGTAAAAATATCATTAATGTGTTATAAATCTTACACAATTGGTTTGTTATTTAAAATTAATTTTAAAAGGAATGGAAGATGAGTTAGTATTAAGAATTAAAAATTGGAATAATTGCTGAATGAGTTTTAATTAAGTATTAATTTAACGGAGTGTAGAAGAGTTCACAATTACTGACTTTTTATGAAACCTTTTGATCTTGATATTATATGTAATATTTGTATAATGTCTCTGGGTATCATTTTTCTAATGAAAATAATAATGATGGTGATGGTGATGATTCGTGCTGGACTGGGATTTAGGAGACTTGGGTTTCAGTCCCCACTCAGCTGTGAAAGGCAGTGGGTGACTTTGGGCCCCCTACCGTGACTCATCCTAGCACATGTTGCAGGGCTGTTGTAAGGGTGAAATGGAGAGGAGGAGACCTTGTAAGCTTCCCTGGGTTCCCCGCAAGAGGAAGCAAAGGGGGGGATAAATATAATATGATAATAGTGACACAAGGGACCATAGGGTTTTCCCCCACGCCCTGAGGCCATAGGAGTAATGATTTTGAGGAGGAAGGAATCTGAGCAGCTCCTGTGATCTTGGAAGAGGGTTTGGGGGAAGAAAACGGAGTATGATAGTGGGTGAAAGGACAAAGGATCCCCAGGCTCTGTATTCCCCTCTTGCCCACTGAGAGGTAAGTCAACTAGACAGGCTCCAAAAGACAGGCAAAAATGTCTTGCCTTCTGTCAGACAGAAGCAAGGTGTTCTCCGCAGAGTGTCCTCCTGATGAGATCGTGCTGCAAAGCAACTGAAGGCTGTTTTTCTCTCACAGATACCTCAAGACAACACAGATGCCATTGTGAGCAAAGCTATTGAGCTGTGGCACAAGCATTGTGGGACCCCTGCTCACTCCGTCTGAGCCTGTGCTTTCCACTTGGCATTTCTGTTTCTTCCTTTGTTTTAATGTGCATCTTCTCACACCCCAATGTAACTAATTAAAATTACTAAAAGACTGGGCGCATGGTATGAGTCATTTATGGGGATTTGTTGCTTTCCCATCTGATGGACTTGAAGAGACAAATATATGCAGAAAGGATGGTTTTAAATCAGATGGATGAATGTGGCCTCTTACCTGCTTGGAAGTCCCTTTTACAACAGTTGGATTATCTGCAAGTTTCCAAAAGTTCATGGAGAACCCCGGTGGAAAATGGAAGGCACTAAAGTGAAGTGCTAAGTTTTGCTTAATTATAACTAAAGTACACTTTCTCTCACCCCCCAACCCTGTTGGCACTTTGTCTAATTTGTTTCATCAGCCTTGAAAGCCATCCAGGTTGGTAGCTGTGATTTAATTATGTATTGTAGGAGGAACTAGTTGCCTTTCCTGAATCTTCCACTGGTTTCATTGGCCAATTGCTTCTGGCAGAGGGGAAAATACCTTCTCTCTCCTTCTATATGTACAACATATAGAATTCCATACACCCCCTTTTTTCTGGGCTAATCTACTCCCCACCCATGCATTATGACTTCCTCAGGGAAGCTGCTTTAAGTCTGGCCATTTGGGAAGCCTTTTTCTGCACCTTTTCCAGTGTAATCTTAATATTCTTTCTTGGCCTGAGCTGGGAAAAGCCCCTTTTTGGAAGATCCATTCAGCCTTGATTTTGATGGTGATTTGGCATAGATGAATAACAAGTCTTTTCTGGCAGGCCTTTGGCTTGATGGTATGTGATGCCTTGTCTAATTTACCTGTTCCCCTTACTTGCTGCTGCTTTTCCTTGAATTTTATTGCTTCTAAATTGTGACTAGCTTCCTTGGGCACTTCTAGTGATGTGGGAAGGTAAGATGTGACCTTGGTTGAAAAACATTCTGTCCACGCCCCTTTTATTCTTCTTGTGTTCACTGCCCATTCAATTTCCTTCTTGCACTTAACATATTGCAGTTTTGTCTTGTCCTGGGTGCTCTTATTGAAGCCCTCGCTCTGCAATCATTTTGCTTCATGCCTGTGAAACACGGCCAGGAGCATTATCAGCCCCAGCGGTCCTGCTCCTGCTGGGTAGTATCCAAGTCAAGTCTCACGGAAACACACTCTGAGTAGATTCATAGAAATGACTGGGACTTAAGTCAGGTGAATACTGGATGTAACCTTCAGTCTGCATGTGAAACATTCTGTTCCCCATCCTATCCCCTGTCTCTTTAAACAAGCCCTGACTCTCACCCTTCTTCATTGGGTATCAGAATATGACTACTGTTATACAGTAAAATGCTATGTCAAATAGCAGATAAGCCTTCCTTAGTGTTAAGTTGTGCAATCTGTTCTATGCGACTTGAAGTCTGGCAAAAGTAGCAACAAATCCTATTTGTTCCCTCTTATTTTTCAACATCAGGCAGCAATTTGTTCATTAATTTGGGGAACCTGTTAGAGAGTCTTCTTTGGGGTGCAGAGATCTTTCTATCCAATGTGCTTAAACTGCTGATTTGCTGTGAAATCAGTCAAGTGGGCAGCCGGTGAATGCTTTTCTGAGGAGGAATCAGTGTCTCTTTTTTCCCTGTGTGAAACTATTGTCTTCCATCAGCAGGCCGATTAGAACATGAGTGCTCAGTGTCATAGGTATGAATCACTTTTTAATGCTCAGGGGCCAGCCAATTAAAAAACCTAAAATTGTCTTTCTGTGACACTTTGTTTGTCCTTGAAATTGCTGCAAGGAGAGAACTAGCTGTGCAGAACTCCTTGCATGAAGAATAGTAATTTTGGATCAGTATATTAAAAGCTGATGGATAACTTCAGCATTGTCCAGAAGTCAATCAAACGCTGCCATTTAAATGCCAGTGGAAAGTTCATTTCTAATCGTCCAGTTGTCCATGAGAAGAATGAGGTCACTAGGAGCATACTTTTGTGCAGTGTGTGTTGTTAATTTTGTGGCATGTTCTTAATCAATAGATGTTATATGCTGAGGTGGGGAGAGACAGAAAGAGATAAGCTGAAGTTTTTTTGTAGAATCTCAGTGCGTGCAAAAATCAATGCAGAAACTGCAGTTTTGGTGGTTTTTAAATGGGGCTGTGTACTGGCAGGACAAGTGAGATTTTCCAAGGATGGGAAGGAATTAAAAAAAAAAAAAAAACCTACGGGGAAGGCCTTTGTAAAAGTTTGCAGCCAAGTCTGCTCTCTCTCCATAAAAAAGTGGATTAAGTTGCCCCAGCTTAAGAATGCCGTATAGTCATGGCAAGAACAAAAGGAACTTCTTCCATCCTGTTACAAGCAAAGAAAAGGGAAAAATGGTCCAGATGGTTTCAGAACCCTGAAGGAATACCATTCCTTTATAGATCTAGATAAGCGCACACCATTTCCTGAGTTGGAAAGGGCAGATCTCTTCACACTGGCAGAATGAGTGATATCCCATCTGATCAAAGGAGAAGAATGTTGAATTAGATTCTATCAAGCCATCATAGCTAATAGCCCTTAATAAATTTGCCCTTCATGGATTGATCTAAGACCCTTTAAAAATCACATAAGTAAGTTCCATAATTGTGCATGGAGTAAAGTAGTATATTTTTTCATCTTTTCTAAATCTACAAAGCAATTTGTAGCTGAATTTATTCTAGTCAGGACACAAGAAAGTGGAGTTTTCCTCTGAGCGCAATGCATAATTGAAAAACCTTTATTGTGTGCTCCAGCTGCTTTCCCCCTTAAATCCTTCAGCTAGGATTTTCTAACCCTCTGAACATTTGGGGTTGTCACTTTCTGCATCTTTTGAACCTCTGTGGTATCTTTTTTGAGCTAGTATAACCATAACACTTCACATGATATTCCAACCATGGCAAAAACATCCATTTATATCAACCTTTATGAAATACTTTCATTTTCAGTCTCTTTCCCAAGGATTCCTAACATGGAGTTTGACAATATTGGCTGTCTACTCCAGCAGATGGTTAGGCACTGCCACTTGCGTTCTCATCTATATGCCTGTAAAGTCAGGCTTTCTTGCCCTGATATGTATTGCCTCAAGCTTAAGCAGCCATTGCAGCTCCCCCACTCCTTTATTTCAAATCAGGTGCCCTTGAGATGTTCCAGCTACCACAGCCCATCATCTTGACTGCTAGCCATGCTGGCTGGGGGCTTGCAGCAGTTATGGTATGAAAAAATCTGGAGACAATGATGTTGTCTACCTCTGATCCAAAGGAATGCACTCTGTCTGTCTGTCTGTCTGTCTGTCTGTCTCTCTCTCTCTCTCTCTCTCACACACACACACACACACACACAGTGCAGCTGAACATATAAAAAAATGCAACATGGAAAGGCAATTATGAGCCACCCAAAATACATAGGCATATGAATGCACACTTGGACCACTCAGGAACCAATGGAATAGAATCCATGATAATTGGGAATGACCAAATTGCAAACAATAGAAGCACAGTTTAGGGTTTGGTTATCAGGTAGAGAAGTGCTCCAGAACTGGAGTTTGTTTAAAATTGTCATGTCCCCACACACAATAGCTTTTCTTTCTCACGTGTACACTCAGCAATGTATGATTTGCTGCCACGTAGAACATTTCACTCTTGTATGAGAAGGAAAGATAGCTCAAATTGATGGCATGGTTTCCATGGAGTCTTTGACCATCTCTGCCTTAAAAGCAATTCAGAAATGATGGTTTGATGGTAAATCAGCATTTGCTTCTAAATCTCAAGGAGTGAAGCTGTTTTGAGTCTTCCTACATTCAACTTCAACAAAAGTGCAGATCCAGCTTGCTGTCCTATTTGACCAGTCCAGAAGTCTCAAAGAAGGCAGTAATTTGGACTTACACCTCCAAGTGCTCTGTCTCTATGGCTATGTTTACTGTATGTGATGAAGAGGTAATTCTGCTGGGTGCCAGGCTGGTGTTTCAGAGCTTTTTACCAGCATCATTTTATCTCTAGATGTGAATGTCACCTGCCTACAGCCTGCATTTAGCTACAGCACTGTCGAATTGACAGAAGACAGAAGAAATAAGACCGGAACATATTTTTCTTTTAAAATGATTTTTTTTTAAGAAACTGCATACATCCGAGACAATTTAAATACCATGCAGTTTCAATATGTACAAAACCCTAGGATGTAGAGATTCCGTTTTAGTGTTTTTTCTAGGTATTTACAGTTTGTTGATGATTTTCCATACAGCCATAATTTGTTAAATTACAATACTGGAAGATCACAGGCTTGACTGTCACCACATTCACTCCTATACAAAGACAAATCTATGTACATACACTTGACTTGGAGATTAACTGGAAAATGCACTGGTTCCAGAATAACTGAAATGTACAGATGAGCAGCCCTCCTGGCCTTTGCTTTTCTGCTCACACAACAATGAAGCTGAATAATGTGCAACCCTGTTTGCCCTTTTTAATCACTGGCCTTTCACTGATATGTAGGTGGGCGGGGGGGGGGGTGATGTTTTATCTGCACAATAAGAGAAATTGCAGGGTATATGTGCTTGCGTGTGCACACACAATAACCTTCATCTGCATGTGAATAGGAGAGATATATTGGGGTAAATGCAAAAAAATCACTGCCCATGCTAGAAAGGGGGGGTGGGGTTGTGTTTTGTGAGATGAATGGAAGCTCTCCTGGTTGAAATGAAAAGGAGCTAATATGGCAATGGTAAAGCTATGCTTCTGCCCATCCATGTAGAAATCGGTTGCATCAGGCATTCAGAGTAGCTTGTCAGCAATCTGATCATTGGGGCATTTAGCTGATTGGTTGTCATCTGGGAAGAATGTGTACCACACACCCTGAAAAAGAGGCCATTTTTAATGCAAGGGCTTTGCCAGGTAGTGCTTTTACATTAGAAGAAAAATAACTTTCCATCTTTTTCCTTTTTGGAAATTGGTACAGTGTTTTGCTCTAATTGAATGATTTGCTTCTGTGTATGGAAGGAAGCCGAAGCTTTGGAGTAGCTCTTTTACAAGCCTCTGTGCAGAAAACAGGAGCAAATCCACCGCTCTTTTTGTGCAGGAAAACCCACTCTATCCCACTGCA